ACTTATAATGAAAAATTTTACGATCTTTCTAAGAAAGATAAATAGGAGCACAAGTGTCTTTCACGTGCGTGGGACTGCGTGTCTGAGTATATGGAAACGGCTTTTGATCTTCGTCTTTATGTTCTAGTCTCTCAGGCTTTGCTTCGCTGCTCTTGCCTGCAACCCGAAATTCCGAAGTGCCCTGAATCACGTCTGAAATCCGAGGAAAACCGAGGGAGGGATCACACAATCATGGCCAGGTCAGTGAAATATGAATTGAGCGCTAGCAAGGCTGGTTTTGAAGCGGCCGTTACCCCCGCCTCTGCTTCTGAAAGCAACGAAGAACGTAGAGATCTTCGTTCTCGCTACCAGTCCGTGAAGAACTTTATTCACGGTAACTTATTTATGTTTACCTCTCTCTCTTCGTATTCGCCGCATACTCCATGTTTGGTTTAGGATTTCACACCGTTCCTTGGGCCCCAAGTCTCGAACGCACAATTTAATTTCCAATTCCCTGTGATTCTTTTGGCCGACTTGCCGTTGCTATTTTTTTAAGTTATCGCAATGGCCAGGCTTGATTGAGTGATTTACTAAACCTACTTTAAAAATCCAGATTCCGCGTGTTTGTTGACTCCTGTTTCTCGGCACCAACTACTGAATAGCAGCCTGCTATTTTGCAGATGAAAGGGAAGACATAACAAGCCCTAACACTGATAAGTTTGATTTGATCTTTGGAGATGTGGAGAGCTTACATCAACGAGGTATAAAATTTTCCTTTATTTGGATATCGACCGCATTTCATGATGTTGGATGACAGTCCTAGTTGTTTTGGATATTTTCAAAATAACAGAATCAAATGACTTTGTGATAACAAATAAACATTCGATGACCTTTGAGTCCATATGAAATTGTTTCCTTTGTTGGTGTCAAATGCCGGTGTATATGGTTGCTGCCTATTTTGTTTCATGATGCAAGCTATATGAGATTTTATTTTTTGTTCTTTTGCCTGTTCTCCCTGCTTTCAGTTAGAAAACCCAGAGAACAAGTGGCTGATGCAAAAGCACTTCTGGACATCACCGAGTGCTTGGTATCGTCTGTGAAAGCTCACGTCAATGATGGATTAACTCCTTCAGACTTTGTCTTGCATATCCTGAACGAATTTGGAGAACGATGTGAATCAAATGCTAGCGCTCAGGACTGCAGGAACTCAATACGATGGAGGGATCTTGGAGTTGCTGTATCAGGTGTTTTCAAAGGAGTTACTGGGTGCAGCACCATGTAATGTTAATACATTAAGGGTTCTCTGTCCTGTTATTTGTTGTCATATTGTTACGTTCCTTTATATATTCATTTCGATTTTTTCTTCTTCAGGATTGGCCCCATGGATACTGAAATAAATCAGAGAAAGACAGTTAATCGAAGAAAGCGAATGAGATCAACTCAAATTGCTCGGCCAGAAGAGGTAAAACATATAGTCTGCAGTTTTTGCCAGACAGAAATTGGCTGGAAGAGATTTAGATTTTTGTTAGACCTTTCTTTCATGTACAGATTGTTGTCTTTAGTTCCAGTGCTGTAATCTTCCTACTAATCTTCTGCCCGTTTATAACCCATTTTATTATAGTTGGAACATAATAAAGGTGTGGTGCATCGTGTCCGAAGTTACTATGGAAATAAATCATTCAAGAATTTTAACACGTACATGCATCTCGCTTTCTTTACAGTCTTTACTTTTTAGGATACAAAACTAGTCATCCTTATGTTATCGGTTCTTAATTATCTCAGTTTCCCGATGTAACTGTACTTTTTTGCAGCTTGATGGTTGTTCAACGGAAAGGATAGTTGATACGGATGAAAACATGTCAACCATGTTTAATATCTTGAGGGAAAACAGAGTTGTCAAACTTGAAAATTTGGTATTGAATAGGAACTCTTTTGCCCAGACAGTGGAGAATTTATTTGCTCTTTCGTTTTTAGTCAAAGATGGAAGGGCCGAGATAAAAATGAATGAGAATGGATGGCAACTAGTTTGTAAGTAACTTCAAAAATTCTTACAGTACTATTCTCACTCGCTGCCGTCTACCTATTTGTCTCTTAAATGATATTATCTATAACTTTTCTTCATGCACCTGCTTTATGCCAGCACCAAGAAACGCTCCTGCTGCAACAGAAGTTCTTTCCGGGGAAGTTGCTCACAGCCACTTCGTCTTCCGATTTGACTTTAAAGATTGGAAGGTATTCTGAAGCAGCTGTATGTAAATAATTTCACTGCTTTTCTTTTGTGTTTAATTAGAGGTATTTTTAATTTTGCCAGCTGTTTAGGGGTATTAAATTTGCTGCTTTATTTTCTTTCATTGACTATTAAAAGGACTGTTGAATATGGAGAATGAAATAGAAGGAAAAATTGAACTTACAATTTATACATGTTCTTTGGTTTCTGCATATAAAATGGTTAATAATAGTGAAGGACTGATACTGCTAAGTGACGTCTTTTTACTACCAAACACCTCCTAATTGTGGGATCATTGTATATTGGCCTTAGCAATCATGTGGCTCTGCTTACAGCAAATGATTTGCTAGGCAGGCAGAAGAAAATGACAGAGCAGGAATATCTGGCTCATCCTAGAAGCTCGAGTTTTTCTACATGCATTACATGTTTCGCACTAGAATATAAATGATCATATGGGTTTCTAAGTTGTCACGAAGCCATCATGTTGCTAGCTGTACTTCTGAGTTTCGTTTTCAGTATGTATCTTTCTTCATCGTAATATAATTATATGTGATCTTCCTAACGGAAGCCATCTGTGCAAAGAAGGACACAATTTAATTCCTGTTAATGTACATTTTATCTTATCATAAGTTTTTGCCGAACGAATTTATATGAACCTCCAAATTCTTTCTTGCTTAATGTCTTCTTTAATGTCTTGTGTGAAATTCCCAGCTGATGACCCGCACTGTTGGGATTGGTGAGGAGATGATGCCGCACAGGAAGACAACCATCATCTGATTCGACGGCGGCAGCAGCTCTGGATGTTATTATTAACAGATGGCCAAGTGTTGCTTGACTCGCCAGTTTGACTTTTAGCAAATTGGCAATGGAAAACTGATAATGGAGGCCAAGGCATCGGTGATGCTGGTGAACGTGTGCTGTCCACAGATTTTTACATCTTGGTTTCTATTTTGTTTTAGTTTTGCACTGTCCTCACTAATAGCCACCCTTTGTTGGGAATGCATTATGTATATCCGCACCATTCACCATCATGTACGTGTGTTAGAAGTTATAAATATGGTCCAGTAGTTCGATATAGTTGGCCGAAAAATAAAGGTAGCTCAATATAAAGCCTTCTCTTCAACAAGTTCTTTTGTTGCTTAGCGCGCCCGTGATTTGGTAGCACCACATGGCCAAAGTAAGGTTTAATTTTATCCTTTAATTTTAAAAAGTATATATTTAGTTTTTTTAATTATGAAATTGTTAAAAAAATGGTGACATTAAGACCTTAAATGTTGATAAAACATTTTTAAATGCTAACAACTTAACATATTAAATTTAATCATCGAAACAACTATAAATGTTACAAAAAATCATAATTTAGTCTAACAATTTTAGAATTAAATGATCAAATGTATACTTTTTAAAGTTAAGGAACCTAATTAAAACTTTATATAAAGTTAAATGACCAAATACATACTTTATTGTTAAGTTACTTTTTAATATTCTCTATTGTATTTTCAATATAAAATTTATTTAATTAATTTAATTTGATTAAAAAAATCATATAAATTAATTATAATAGAATGATCTACCTAAAATATCTATATATAATATTAAATTTTATATTAATTTATAAAGTTTAGTAAATTAGTTTAGAAAACAATAATGAGCATTAAAAAATATGGTGAATTGATGTTTTATATTTAATATCAAATATAATCTATTAACTAACTTTTGAGTATATATTTTGACACATGCGTGCCCATAATACAAATGCAGGAAATGCACTCGTTCTTTTTATTATTTTATTATTGTTTTCAAAGTCTTAAAATTTATGCTATCAATGGCTGATTGTTTATTACTAAATATTGACACTTGTCATTACTATGAATTAGTTATATTCAATAATAATGTTTTTAAATAGTATTATTCTTTTTTACACGATCATGCATCTTGCTCTTTAAAAGCTCAAACATCTCCCTGATTAGTGTTGGAACGGTCCTGTGCAATGCCCTGGATTTCGTTCCCAGCTGCGCAAATTTTTAGTTGCCACAAAAAAGCTTCCACCATCTTTAATCCTTAATATAAAAACTAGATAACTAATTTGAGTAAATTAAAAAAAACTAGTTAAATTGATTATTTGTAATAGATATGTGTTGTTTTTCCTAAAATATCTTTACTAATCAAGTGTATTAACTAGAATTATTATTATTACAATGATTATCTTGAGAAAAAATAGATAAATATGAGAGATACAATGAATTGAGGTCTTATATTTAGGATGAAAATAAAAATTAAATGAGTTTTTATATTAAGAATCAAAAGTAATATATGAACAGTAATCTTAAATTTTGATATTTTTTATTATAAATTAGGCTTATAATTTTTTGGGAAGAGGGACGGTATAATAATCCTAATCCACAATAGGATACAAATGGAAGAGGGACGGTAAAATAATCCTAACCTCACACACTTCCCTTGGCCGTGAAATTAGTGTTTTTCTTTTGTAGGGCTAGATTTGCACACACGTCAGCAAAAGTTAACGGCTCCATCACAGAGTCCGTGAGTCGCGAGTCGTGACGTCGAAGCAACCTTAATGGCTGTTAATAAAATGAAAAAAAAAGGGAAAAAAAAAAGGCTCGCCCTCCCTAGTCCCTCCTCACTTGAAGTCGGTGCGGTGGCAAACCCCTGTAATTCCCAACAGTGGAGTAAAAACTGAAAACCCTAATGTCAATTATTTATTGGGTCACTAAAATAGTAAATAAATAAATAATAGGCCGATTTTATTATTAATAATATCCTCTCCGACGAGCCCTGCCCTTCCTTTCGAAGCCCCCACATCCCAGAGCAGCTCAGCGCCCTGCTCTTTCGAAACCCTCTTCTAGGGCTAGGGTTTCCCAGCTTATCCCTCTCTGCTACTGCTATCCTCTTGATCTTTCTGTATTCCAGCGATATTTTCATCTGCTGTCTGTGTGCTTGTCGGTTGAGGTTATTTTTATTCGGATCTTGATCCATTGCTTTCTTAAAATGGATATTCGTAAGAGGGGGAGGCCGGAGGCTGGCATCAACGTTAACGGTGGCCTCAAGAAGACCAAGCAAGGTTTGCTTTTCTTAGTTTCCATCCTTTTCTGCTCACATATTTAACATGTTCCAGAGTTATTCTAGCTCCGTCTCGCGTATTTGGATTTTCATATTTTAGAAGCATCTTTATTTCTGCTTTATTGTTTAGTGGCTTTTCTTTGGTGATTATTTGCCCTATCCGAGCTGGATTTTTTTAGTACCCTTCCCCTGTTGGTAAGCTGCATCTGAAATTATTCTTCAGCTACCCTTTGATTCTCGCGTAAATTAAAAATCTTTGGACTTTAAAATTAGAGTCTCGTCCGTCCAAGCTTATTTGGAAATTAAATCCTTGCTGAAAATTTGCAAAGAATGTATTATTTTCAGTCTTATTCCTGAATTTTTTTTTCCCCAAGTCCACTTTTTCATTCGTAATATTCCCTGCTAGGTTTACCCTTGCATTGGTAATGTTTTCCACTTGCGCAAGCATACCTGTAGTTGTAAGTAAAGTTGTTTTGAATTGGTCCATCAACTAATGGGAAGACCGTCTGTGTTCAGGATAGGAAAGAAACCAATTTTTATTGGAAGATTTACTGCCTTTCACTTTTGTGATAGCCACAATTTGCAATATCCGTGATTGCTAAAAACACTGCCTTCATTTGTCAGCTAAAATGAAAATGATTAACTTTAAACATGTTCTCCTTTCATGATGACTCAAAAAGGGCAAGAGTCCATTTCTAGTCTCTAAAGCTCAACTGAAGTTTTAATTTAGTCTGATAACTTTATTCTGGTTCAATGTCACCTTCAAAGTTAAATTATGCTTCGACTTCACGCACATACATATCGGATAAGTTGACGAGTGCAAGTTGTGCCAGCTTATATCCAACTGACAGTTTTCTATTCATCTCAATACAATCCCTGAATCGGTGTACTTTAGGGCTAAACAACCTCTCCCACTCTGGTACTCAATCCTTAATAGGTTAAACCAACTAAATGAATAGCCAAAGATGTTGCTGATGCTTCAAGACAACAATTAAATTTACCTACAAGATCCGAGTGATGTCCAATTTAGCGCTGCAGTCATTCCACATCTACCATCAATGCTCGAGATTGCTTCAATTTGTCGGTGTTTGACTCAACTATTAGTAGACAGCACGAGATAGCTCCCATAATGCTTATATACCATAACCCTTTTGCTTGGATATAAGACGTCTAGTGTTTCCTTCTTGATTTTATACCATATTCTTCATAATCCAGGTTAGATCTGAGTTTCTTTTGCAGCGATGTGGAACACCACCTTAATGCCAGACTGAGTACATAAGGTCAAGCTGTAACAAGTTGTCCTGCAGCATTTGGGTTTAGGGATTGGAGAAATTGCTTAAACTCTAAAATGCAATGTTGGGAGTTTTTATTTGGAGAAAGGAAAAAAAAAATGATGAGTTGGAGCATTCTGTACTAGTCTGCATCTGCGTTCAACTTGATATGTTGATGTTCATGAGCCGTATCAGATACTTCCGTTAGGGAAACTATTGGGCCAGGGAAAAATATCACATTGAACCAAAATAAATTTGTTGAACTAATTCAAAACTTGTGTGAAGCTTTAGGGACCTAAGATGGACTTTTGCCTACCTGAAAATAACATATCATTTGAAGCGTTAACAATTTTCATATAAAATGTTCTAAGTCAATAAGCAAGAGAATATTAACTGAGAAAAAGTAATTAATGTTTTGCAACAGAATTGGAGTCCTTATCAACTGGTGTAGGAAGCAAATCGAAGCCTTGTACCAAGTTTTTCAGGTTCTAATCTATTCTTATCTAAATAAATATTTGAAGTGTACAGTTTTATTTTTTTCCCAAAAGAATGTTATAAGTTAATTTAATAATTAAATGTGCAACTGTTATAAAACTCTGCAAATTAACCTGATTATTGGAGGTTTTTATACAGGTACATACTGTTGTCTGCTCTAATCAAGTCATAACAGAATATTGTTTTTTATGGAGTACGGAAAAGATAATATACACCTATGTTGGACAGTTGGTGTTGAGCGCTCACCTCTATGTGAATATAAATTGATAATTGCCCTCTTCATGTTTGCCTTACAGCTTTATAGTATTAATGTGTCCCACGCAATTAAGCACTATTTAATGCTAATACTCAGCTCTTAGTGGATTCTACGGCTTATGAACCACATTTAACTTGGTGAGCCAGTAATAAGTTAATACAATGAACTTTGATCAGTTGGAACAGGTATGATATCAACATGAAATACATCTGGATTTTTGTATTGTGGTGCTCCGCACGATCTCTTTAGAATTGAAGAGACATACGCCCTTTCTCATATTCAACCTTAACTAGATGTATTGTATCCTAATCTTCTTTCTGATTGCATCAGACTTTTATCTAGGAATTAGGTGTGTATTGAAACGCAATGCTCTTTGTTATTTTTTGCCATCGTTGTATCTATGAAATCGTTGCACTTATTGTGACAGTCGTGATTATTTTCTCCTGCTATGGCAACAACTTTATAGCATTATCAGTTTAATTGCACATTCAGTTCTAGCATTGTTTTAATCTTCACTGTAGGTGATATAGTTAGGTGTATATATTGATTGAAAATGTTAACCTATGTAGGAAGTTGTGATTTTGTGCTTGCATGCACTCTGTTGCATAATTGTGAGCTACTTAAGCTGCCTGCATTCTATTTTATAGTTTTGCCGGCCGATTCTTAGTTGTTAATAAATTTTAGCCTCTTGAATCACAATATGATACTTGAGGTCCGTGATGTCTTTCTGGGTTTTACAATGATGTTGGAATTTCTTCCCCTGGATTTCAGTTGAGAGTGTCGGATCCTTTGCTGCTGATGAATGTGACTGTTTTCCTGAGTATTTGTTCAGCATTTGCTGCTACAATTGTAGCATTATAGTTTAGAGAAAATTTCTAACTGCACCCTTGAACTCGTCTCTTTGAGAAGCTAAGCTGGACAAATGTACTCATCATATATACCTTTGCATGCAAGGCTAATGGAATTAGATAACTTTTGAATGGGCTGTATAAGTAGAATCTTTTGATTGTTGCCCGTTAAAGTTTGGGTTTGGATTAATTAGGTGGTTTAGAGGGAAGAGTGCACTATCTAAGTGATGGTAAAAGTGGTATCATTGTCCAAACAATGTAGCCTTAGTTGAATATTTAGTCTAATCGTTACTTCTGAGTTTCCTTTTGGAGTGAAAGGCAATGGTGGTTTGGTTTCATCAGAACCAGGTCTGTGGTATCTAGAGCAAAGCCTAAGTATTTGAACTTTTTATTGGTTTTATGGTAATTATGAAGCACAATTTGTTGAAAATTTTGGTCTTGCACAGTATAGTGCTGAAACCGGCAGTTGATTAATGCTTGAGATCAAGAAAAGAGAAATAAGCCTTTTCATGTTGATTTAAAAAAAAAAGAAAAAAGATTTGGCTGTATCAAATCTTTGCTTCTGGCCTCTTAAGTGTAGATAAACATGTCCTCTATGACCTATAACTATCTCCCTTTCGTGTGCTTGGTGAATTGTTTCCGTTTATGTGTCCTTATTTTGGAGTTTGATTTTACTGTTTATCTGTGTCACCCATGTATGGAGTCACAGGCCCTGGATTGGAACTTGGTGCGAGCGTATTGTATGCTTATGGTGTATCTATTTGACTATATAGCAGAACACCTATTATTTGTATCTCTGAAGTTTTATTCCGTTCCTTTAGGATTTGCCAGATGGTTTATATTTTTTTCAAACTTGATTCTTATACGATGACTTGAGGAATTTGAAAATGAGTTAACACCTTTACCTCACTCTGCAGGGAAGGGGTTAGACTAAGATTTATATGCTGTAATTATTGCCATGATCTGATTGTTTAATTCTCTCTTCGTTGCAGCACTGCTGGCTGCCCTTTTGGGGAGGGTTGCCACTTCTTGCACTATGTTCCTGGTGGCTATAACGCTGTTGCTCAGATGATGAATTTAGCCCCTGTTACTCCTGCTGCTTCTAGAAATGTTGCAGCCCCACCGCTGGTACATAATGGCTCCAATCCTGCTGTCAAAACTCGCATATGCAATAAATACAATTCTGCAGAAGGCTGCAAATTTGGTGATAAGTGTCATTTTGCACATGGTGAATGGGAACTTGGCAAGCCTATCGCTTCAGTAGAAGATCATCGTGCTGTGGGACCCATTGCAGGCCGTATTGCTCCCAGTCGAATGGAGCCTCCACCTGGTCCTGTGGCTAGTTTTGGTGCCAATGCCACTGCCAAGATCAGTGTAGAAGCATCCTTAGCTGGAGCAATCATTGGGAAGGGTGGTGTAAACTCCAAGCAGATCTGTCGGCAAACAGGAGCAAAACTATCAATTCGGGATCATGAGTCAGATCCGAATCTTAGAAACATTGAACTTGAGGGAACGTTTGAACAAATTAAGGAAGCTAGTAACATGGTGAAAGAGTTGCTTGCAACCATCTCAATGTCTGCGCCGCCTAAAATCCCTGGTGTTCCTGGTGCGCCAGCCCCCCTGGAAGCAATTATAAGACCAAGTTGTGTGAGAACTTCGCCAAAGGATCTTGTACTTTCGGAGAAAGATGTCACTTTGCACATGGGGCTACTGAACTGCGTAAAACAGTAGTATGAACTGGGTAGGTGCATTTGTCTTGCCCTTTCGTAGCCAGGGTTGTATTTTTGTTGTGCGCTGCAACTGTTACTGACAAATTCTATTGTCGGAGTTTCGTTCTTGTTTTCTTTTCAAGGCTGGCATGGCTTTCTCAATCTTAGATTTCGATTGAATATGTAGATGTTCTCCTTAGGTTTGCTGAATTGGCTAGAGGTTGTTGTCCCGAGATTTCTAATGACTGGTACTGTTTCCTGTACGGAGCTCCCTTTTTTCTTTTTGGGTGACGTGTTTTTCGATTCTAATCTGTTAGATCGTTGGCTTCATATTAGAATTATTAGTAGTCAAAATAATATCTCCATATCATTTTGGCCATATCAGTCATACATCGGCATTGGTCTCACTTGGTGTGATTGATGTGAACGGAGAGGGAAAAGAAAGAATACACTTGGACAGGGTGTGAATGGTTACAAGACGACAAGAATCATGGTTCATTTTATTGATTTAGGAGGTCGCCGCGGTATTTTGGTGGGCTTTGTAGCTTGGTCGTCTTTTTGGTAACGTTGATAATTAGATGGCCAACGAACATCTTGTATCATCAACTTGAAAAAATAAAATGTCTATCATCTGCATCCGTGGCTTGAAAAAATAAAAAATAAGCTTGGCATGCATCAGGCGAGATCGCCGACGGCTACACAGGTTAAAAAGCATTTATTTTCTGTGCAAGGTCTGATAAGAAAGAACAGAATCCATAAATTTGTTTTGATATTTCAAATCCTCCAATATCTTGAGGGAGGTAGCATCATTTATGATCGGGGGATGACGAGCAAGTGGTTGGCCCCAGCGGATTGATCGAATTTGCATTTAGAGCCGGCCACAGTGGGTATGGTGTGGGCCTATCAAATGGCTTTTCACTCTCTTCCAAGGGCAAACACACAAGCATGAAAGCATGTTCATATAAGGGTGTGTTTGGATAAAACCAAACTATGATTTGGAGAATAGCTTCTGAAAAATAGATTCTAGAGAAAGATTTTATGAAAAAGTGATTCTGAGAAGTGAAAGTGTTGGATAGTTGTTACCAGAACACTTTTTATATGTGCAAATTACTAAAAAGGAGCATAAATTAATATTATAATTATATAAGGGATGGATTTTATAATATATTTTGATTTGAAGAAATAAAATTGTTAATAAAAAATTTTACTAACATAATTAATAATATATAAGATAATATAACTAATAAATATTAATGTGTGTATATATTTATAATTGTAAGATTAAATAGTGAAGAACCGAGTGTGGAATGAAGAGTGAGGCATCAATTATGGGGGTTGCTTTGTCATATGCTGTTGGGTCCACACCAATGTCTAGAAAATTTGAGCCAGAAGCAACTTCAAACCACTTCTGCCGAAACCATGGTTTTGGGGTTTAAAACCATGGTTTGACCCCAAACCATGGTTTCACATTTTCTGCCCCTGTTTGGCTGGTTTCTTTCCCAAACCATGGTTTGGAGGGACATCCAAACAGGGCCTAAGTCATGGATTCGTACGTCATGCAGAGAGTGGTCAATCATTTGCGAATACTTATAAAAAATCGCTGATATCATATTTAATAGCATGTTTTTTTGGTCCTAAGCATCCATATCCTCGTATTAGAAATAATTCTTTTCGAAATACTGTCAGACACTAAGATCCCGTTTGGTACAAAACATTAAAAATGAGGGTAGAGATTAATACTGAGATTAAGAAAACCTATTAAAAAAGTGGATTGGACAAATCTATATATATGAGATTGAAGAATACCACCATAGGATGAGGTGGTATTTTCCAATCTTACCTCCGTGGGTTTGCCTAATCCTATATAACAAATAATTACTCATGCTAAATATTTGTTTAATAATTTTTCTCAATTGCAATCCTAGTTTATGTCTGTCATTTTTAATGTTTCGTACTAAATATGACTTAAGTGTGCACACTTATACTGGTGAATATTTACTATTGTGGTTTTTGGTTGAGTGTAGTGAAGAGTGCAAATGACGAATATGTGACTCGGTTGAGCCGCAACAAGATCTGGCTGCAATTCGGAAGAGTTTTCCATCTATATAAGTGCATTAGGCTCAGTTCACAGTAATTTAGAAAAGAATGGTATATAAAGAATTGAGAAGCAAGATAAGTTATAAGGTAAGGTCATGGTTGTGTGGTCTTCTTGTTATTGTGATATCTGGCGTTTTGTGCTGCACTCTCTCTCTTTTCCCCCTTTGTAGAATTTTTTACAGAAGTCAATCGTTTTTTATCTTTGGAATGCCACTCTTTGTTTTGCCCCTAACCTCACCGTCCACGTATGACATAGTACCCCTTCGTATTTGGATAACTAATTAATAAATATTAAAATAAATTAGTTCAGTTGATTATTTATAGTAGATATAAACGTATCTTTGTTTTCTTAAAATACTCTCTTTGATCATTTGTATTTAAACTACTTTTTAATTGGGAGCTCTTTTAACGTGTATAATTAATGGAGATCTTCTGAAAAGATCTAATAGATTAAAATGAACTCCTCACCTAATTTCTATACTTAGGATTAGAGATAGTATTACAATTAAGTTAGAACACAATAAAACAATTCCAAGTTGGCCTAAATAAATAAATAAATTCTGAGTTGGCCGGGGTAGGCTGACGATGATACTGAGCATATGCTCTGAGTTTAAGGGAATAAGCCAATGAGATCCAGATGGAATCACTTTCCTGTCTTTTTCACTTCCGTCTTAAATTAAAAAAGTGTTTGGCAAACTATAAATTACTTTTAAAAAGTATTTTTTAACAAATCAAAATAAAATCATTCATATATTTATTTTATACACCGTAAATTTCTTTTACAATTATGATTTGGTTTCTATTTAAATACTTTATAAACCAACTAAATTTCACAATTAAGATGATCATTCCTCGCACCCCAGCCCACAGTATTTTAGGCAGAAGTCATTATCCAAATTACTTAAAAATAAAACCATCATGTGCTCTCTCACAAAGATGAAGTCGCGCGTATTGACATAAATTTAAAACGAGAAAAAAAAAATCAGAATGAATGGACATAACTTAGTGAGTGGAATGAGATCTTTTTTTTTTTTTTTTTAACTCTTTTTGTGGCTGCTATGCGATTCCCCGTGATGCCCAAGGGCCACAGTCTTGTACTATTGTCCCCAAGCAGGCTCTACTTTCTTCCCTCCCTTTTATTTTTGTCTGCATTAATAAAATATATGAATAAATTAAACACGTCTTTTCCCTTCTTGTGAGATGCTTGGAGTTTGACGGTTAAAAAAAAAAAAAAAGAATATCCCAGGATCACCATCCGTTCTGGGGATTAATCTGCCTAAGATGCGAGGGGGTAAAAAGTAATTTTATTTCATCCACTCCTGGTTTAGATGGAATAAAAGAAAATTAAGGGGAAAAAACTTTTTTATTTACTTTAATAAGGATAGAAGACAACAATCGAGAGGAGAGGAAAAAGAAAAGAGGGAAAGTGATTGGGGGAGGCCACCCGTCACCTTCTTTATTTTCCAAACTCTAACCATCCGTCCACACACACAGATTTTGGGGATGACTGTTTATCTCCAACATGCCCTTACCGATGATTCCAGATAATATATTTTTTTTTTTCTTTTTTAAAATTATTATTTAGATTTTTTAATAGAAAATTTGAAAAATATGCTTTTTGCCAAATTATTTGATTTCAATATATTTTTATTGGTGTGAACCTTGATGAGTCTTTTGCCTCCAATCATAACGAAAGGGTACTGTCATTATGATACTTTGTCTTTTTTTTTCCGG